GCAAAGACAACAATGCGAACACGGTGGCACAAAAATACAAAACTTATGCAAAATCCGGTGAAGTCCTTCGTTCTCTAATCTCAAACACGATCCAAGGCTTTTGCTTCGCGATGATCGATAAATGACACGCCTTGTATGTATCTGTAATATGCGGCAACATGTCGTCCTGATAAATTTATTACGTCAAAGATTCCAGTGGTACGTGTAAATTCTTTGATGCTTAGTGAATGAGTATATTCAACGTACAAACGTGTTAATTATCGCACGTTTTCAAAATTGCATTTGACAAGCATTTTTAACTCCTGGGCGATCAAATTCAATTTCTACCTTGTACAGGAGTATCAGTGGCAAGTTCTGTATTTTGCATCAGTATAACTATCATTTGTACGCGCAGTGAACGCGTAACTTTGATGAAGAAACTAACTTTTAAAGTGTATATAGGTATGGAATCGAAATGACTCGAAATCGGCACATTAAACAACTCTCGTCACGATAAATCAGCTGTTTGAGGATTAAAGAGTTTGAAGATTTAATAACAGCAACGATGATAACAATTATAATTGAAATTAAGAAAATTGTATAGTAGAAAAATTAAATGATTTTGGTCAGGTATAACGATTATAAATGATTCGTATAAATCTTTTTAATACGCGGAGATCATTATTAATGGAGAAAATTATTTTTGTTTGAAGAAAAACACCGTTGTCGAGGATCAGAAGGAAGTATTTAAAGTAGTTTTTACTTTTTACTCGTTTGTGAAATTTTCCAAAATAATGTAAATATTAGTTTAGATACTTCGTGACGTTCAACATTTGTAGCACATATTTTTTTGGAATTCAATAGAAAAAAAAAAAAAAAGTATAATGAAAAGACGAACTGGAAGACCGATCAAGATATTATGATTTTCGCAAAAAAATAGAAAAGAAACAAGTCATTGTAAAATTACGTAACACGATCTCAGAAAAAAAAGTTAGATAATCGTGTAAATAGTTTATCCAGAAAATTCATATCGATGTAACTGGTCGACTAAATAGGCGGAAAAATACTTATTTACTGTCTGAATTAAAAATTTCTGATTTGACGTTGACTTTAATCATGTTGAATTAAATTGAAAAAGAAAATGTATTAGAATAATTTTTACTAGCCATTGGGTAAAATTATTTATCAATCGGCAAAACGTCACCTTCTTTTCAGCATTTCGGTACAGTTAAGATAGTCATGATCTCTGTCAAAAATTTGAGATCGAATATCGAGCCAATTTTCTGAACTAATCACGCTCTAAAGTGACTTTGAAGTTGCTCTAAATTTATATATTTCTATCTTTGCCAAAAAAATTTTTAAGCAAATTTTATCGTTATTTTGAGACCGATTTATCCGTTCAATGTTCTAAAAGTAGTCTAAAGCTTTTCCAAAATTACCGTATTCCCCGAAATTTTCCAGGTATTCTCACGCTGTTGATTTCGGGATTCTCCGCCATTGCCATTGGCTGCGCAATTTTTATATTCGATCCGTACGAGTTGATTTTTAAAATGAAAGTGACATTCAGCCCCGGCGGCGAAATATTCGACATCTGGCGGAAACCGGACGTCGAACTTTATCTTAAAGTTTACCTATTTAACGTGACCAATCACAACGAATATTTATCGGGCAAGGAGAGCAAATTAAAGTTCCAGGAAACGGGCCCTTACGTTTACCGGTAAGTCTGTCACTGGAGATGTAAACGATAAAATAACTTATACACTATGAAATTACAATTGAAATTATAATTATAATTAGATCGTATCACGTACACATTTGCAAATTTAATTACAAATTATTCAGCTTTGCAATTCTGCAGGTTAAAATGAAATTTAAGAGGCAAAGTTAAAATGAAATTCGAAAGATTAAAGAGTTATAATGTTTTCGTTTAAATTAAGGTAAAATCTTACATAAGATAATATCTTAAAATCTTTAACTTACTGTTTTCCAAACGTGTCGCGTGTAAATTTTCAGATATCGGTTATACGAATATTTGACTTCAATTAAAAATCCGTCTTACTTCCATATGTTTATTCTCATAGAAATTGGCTTTCAGAGAATTATTCGAACATAGTGATGTCCATTTCAATGACAATGGTACAGTGACGGCGTATCTACAACACCCACTGCAATACGTACCGCACATGAGCAATGGAACGGAAGATGACATGCTAATATTGCCGAACATCGCCTTATTGGTGAGTGAAATCATTTACGTACTTTGATGAGGGAGGACAGAACTAACAGGAGAGTCCCGTTCGATTTTAACTAAATCATAGCAAGGGCAACGAACGATTCTAATATGCTTTGATTTCACTTTCGAATTTAAAATATAAAATATATTCGAACTACGGTCACGGTTGATGATCTTTTGACAACGTCATTGATAACATTGATAACATTTCTAGAAACGTACAGAAATTTTTAGAAAATCGTAAACTAAAGCATTCATGAACATTTACAGCGGTCAAGGCCGCATGAAATATACTTATAATAATATAAGTTTAGCCTTTACAAACTACCAGGAATTCCTGCCGAGTATCGTCGTTTACTTCTCGCAGAAAATGGAAAATAATTCGCCCGTGATGCAATCGGCGTACATAATATTAAAGCTCGCGACTATCATCGTGACTAAGTTCAAATGAATCAATTGTAATTAATCGCTTTGCTCGTTTCAACTTTATTAAATTTCAAGGCTGTGAATTTACTTATGCGCGCGACACTCCGAGACATTTTAATATTTCCTACTCGAGAGAGAGAGAGAGAGACTTATTACAGAAATAACAATTTTCGCAGAACAGAAATGACAGAATTTCGAGTTTTCCTCGGTAAAAAGTAAGATCACTAGGATTGTATCTACTTGTTTTCTTTGTTGCGAAACAATTTTAGTGTAAGATATACAACAGAAAAATTATTACTCGTCTAATTGTAAATAATATTTCATAAAAAAAAAATTCGTTTAGTAAGAAACAATACATTGATAACTTGTTTACCACTGTTGAACAGCTGCCAACGGGGTCAACAATTCATCGAGTATGTCTTTCACTAATATCTAGATTCCTGCTTTTTCTTGAACAAAGAAGAAAATTTCTTTAACCATATTCCTTTGTCAAATGAAAAGAACGTAATATCTTATGCTAACAAAGATAATGAGGGGAAAATATGGAACAGTAATTTGAGTAATTGATTTGGATAGGAAATATATTCTTTGGAAAGAAAATGCAATCTTTGTCGTAAAACTCGAATTTAATGTTTATTAGAGAGCTCAAGGTCTATCGATGAAACTGATTGTCATTGCAACAAAAAAAAAGCGAAAATGTAAAATCATGTTCGAATTTTATGTATATCAAGAAAAATAATAACGAAGATTGTTTGGGATTATTAATTAATGCATTTCTGTAGAAACGTACAAGCATTCTACTAATTAAAGCCACCAAAGTCCAAAAGAGTAAATTCATGACTTTAAAATACGCGAAAACTCTTAAGCAAAAAATTGACCTGATTTTCTAAGCAAAATTGTAAAATTACTTTTTGGCATATTTTATAATTATTGATTTTAATTATCGATCCTCTATCTTCATTCAAACTGTAAATCGTCCTTTTTATCAGTCGATAGCGTACTTTCCACATTTGACATAATTGATCAGTCAAGTCTATGGTTAAATAGAATAGTCCAAGGTGTTCCACTAGAAATCTAGAACATTTGGATGGAAACACCTGGAAACTTAAAAATAGAAGGATGGATTATACTCGATCAATCAACGACAACGACGTTATAAAATTTTATAGCGATGATCATGTCCTGTTACAATGAATAATAAAAATGTTCAAGATCGACGTGTTTGTTGTTTACGAAAGAGAATTTCCTTGAAATGTGGAAAAACTCGATGAAATGTAATATGCTACGTTTCTCATTTGCATTTCCCTATAACTATATGTTGGAAAAGAAAAACCCGTGACTATGATTACGTGGGTATGCAATATTAAAATTCTATATGCATTAGAAGAATGGCAATCGGTAAAAGAAAAACATAAAACGTCCGATTAAAAACTTATGTTATATATTCACGATCCTTATATTTATTTTCTACTAATAGAATCCAAAGTATCTGGTCGTAGAGATTCCCGTACGTTTCTTAATTGTCAATTTCCGTTGCAACTGAAGAATAATAATATTCTATATAGAATACCAAATCCTAGATTATATACGATGTTTTCCTAAATCATGGTATAATCGGCCAGTTGATAATTCTACAAACAAAAAATAAATTAAAAGTTATTCGTATTCTTAGAAATATCGAAGAAAACAATTATTACGTGTAGCAAGTAAAACTCGCTAGAAATGACAATGAAACGAAAAATGTAATTTGTTCTTTAAAAAAAAAATCATTTATCGCCGTTGAAGTATAAGAACAATTTCCTAAAATATATTCTTGATATGTGCATACATATCTACCTAGTTGAAAAATATCCACTCAAGACGATTTATATCGACCTCATGAACGCGAGTAACTGATTGTTATAGCAGTCGATGAATTTTCAGGCAGAAAATGAAAATCAGGAAAACCAGAGTTCGATACGAGAACGAAACGAAATACAAGATATGGAAATGAATGCTGTTCTCCTTAACATTTTATGAACAAATCATCGCTAATTAAGTAAGGCAAGCCACGATGAATTGCATTTCATGATATAGAAGATTAATTATGTCGCGGCACGCATTATTATTAATAACGACCTTTAATTAGACTCTTTAATTAGACCGTCGCGAGCTTTCACAAATTTACAGGGGTATTAAATTTATTTAGAAACCGATTACTTGTTCGATTACAGAGTGATAATTCTTTCGTTCGACTCCCCAAGAGATTTGCTGATTCTTTGTTCCAGAGTATCACGAACGTGATGAGGAATTCTGTTTATCTAACCAGACTCGGGTTAAATTTACTGATCATTAACACGGATTCGCATCCCCTGGTGAAAATGACTGCTAAGGAATTTATGTTTGGTTACGAATCCACCCTTGTTACCCTGGGCAATAAAATGATGCCATCATGGATTAAATTTGATAAGCTAGGTCTTATCGATAGAGTGAGTTCTCAAAAATATGGTTCCATCAATTGTATAGGGTTCTCAGAAATCGCTACCTTTCTCCAGAGATTTCAATGTTTCCTCTTTGCTACAGATGTACGATTTTGAGAACGATTACATAAACGTTTATACCGGTGAAAACGATATAAGTGAAACAGGATTGATTGAGAAGTATAACGGCAATGTGGATCTACCGCAATGGACAGGAAAATGTGCGAATGTGAAGGGAGCGAGCGATGGAGCAAAGTTTGCAAGTTACATCAAACCGAACGATACTATATTATTCTTCAGAAAAAGTCTCTGTCGCAGCGCCATTCTAGTAAGTGCTTTATTACTTGCATGCTATTGCTGAGTTATAATATTCTTTTTTTTTTTTTTTTTTT